AGGCTCTAAACAATCAAATTAGAGCCTACCTTTAAATAGTGTCGAGAAATGTGGTTTCAACAAATGAAATCTTTGTGATTGCGTTAAAATATATTTTTATCTTTATTTATAAAGCTTAAAGCTTCAAAAATTGTGTAGATCGACAGATGTATGAAAACTTGAAAATTTTGAAAATTGACGGTAAAAAAATGTATTACAAAATGCATTATTTCCATAACTTAAAATCAATTTTTTTCTCATGTTTATGCATCTTGATGTTGAGATGATCAATTTGAGGATTTTTGAGCATCAAAATAATCTCGTCTAGTGAAATTTTGAGGTAGGCTCGAATGTGATTGATTAGAGCCTCAGCTCTATATAAACTTTTTCCATATATATATATATATATATATATATATATATATATATATATGTTAGATCAACTCCAACCTCCGACCCGACCAGATATTGTCCATGTCAGACCTGAACCTGGACCCAGACCTGATTCGACTCAAGTCCAAGTTCTAGACCTAACCTACTGGTTCCAAATCATAGGCCCAGGCCTCTATTAAAGGAACACTTAGAACACTATTGTTACGACTGTATGCTACGCGTCTGCACTGCACCTCCCAGTGTACATGATGCCAATCTTCTATGATACAAGGAACTACATTTGTATTTTGGTACAACGCGGATCTAGATCAAGAATCACCACTTTTGATCGGGAATTGCTGGGACCATCCATGTTCTTAATTAGAATCAAGTGCTACTTTGATTTTGATACAATCTCCAAGTTCTGTCAGAGAACCAGATCATCTGAATTGCTCACTGTCAGGAAACTAAGTAAACCAAATGGGCCCAATCACCCATTTCCGACTCATTCCATCTTTTTCTAATTATTTAATTTATTTCAATTTAAAATTATTAATTGAAATATTTTTGGACCTGTTGTTCTGATCCTGCCCCAATTGGCGACCCATATTGATCCACGTGACCATTCTAGCCTCCCTATGTGAATATTATAACTTTTAAAGGACCTTTTTCACCCTTTTTTCCATCATCATATTTCATCCCTCCTACAAAGTACAAACCGCACAAAATCAGCGAAACTATTCATAATCGCTTGCCCTAAGACAATTACTAGCTCTTTCATTCTGGTTAGGAAATGTAATAACTAGATCTTCAAATTGCAAGAAGAAATAGAATTCAAGTTTGTAACATATAAATGCAACTCTCTTAATCATATTAGGTTTCCTATCGTCTTTATTTTGCTTCATCATCTTTATCTTTTGGAGAATTTATCAAAAAATGCACCCCAAAGCTCAACTACTTAAACATTTTGCCCAAGGTATAATGATAATTTCAGACCCATTTTGATGTGTAATTTGATGGGCTATTTGAATTTGTTTAAAAGAATGATCGGTTATTTGTAAGTAGATAAAAAATTGGGTAAGATGTTATACAATTCAAATTTTAGATATAATTTGATAAATTTCCCTTGCTTTTGACAGTTCAGCAGTATTCGAACTATGGGAACAACAGTTGCAGTGACCAAAATCTTAACAAGTCAAGCCCAAGCCAATGTCATTTTGTTTGATCGTTTCCTTGTTAATAACTTTTCTTTTCATTGATCAGTAATTCCTTTTTCAGATTGTTTCACAGACTACTTCCCATATTTCTTTTTTCAAAAACGGCTTTGTGCTCGCCACGGGGCAGATCAATGCAACCATACGTGCTTACCAGTAGTCCATACAAGAACATTGACCATCCTTGAAATGGTGAAATCGGTTCCTATCCCTTGCTACTATTTCTCGCTCGAAAATCTTTGAGACAAGTTTAGTTGCCGAATGGCAATTACCACACACTCGAAGGTTCTTAACAATTCGAATTGTGGTTCCTGGACTAGTACTTATCAACCCAAATGCGATGGCCAACTTCTCACTATGGTAGCATAATGACCCTTCCTTCCCTTCTTCATCTATATCATATACCACCTCAGATGTATCAGGCACATGGCCCGCTAGTTCTAATTCCCTGTCTATCTCATCAACCATTTCATATATCTCTTTAGTTCTAGGATGAGATGTGTCTCCAACAAGAAACTCATGAACAACACTATCTACTTCAATGGAGCTACAACCTGGCACCTTCTTCAAACCTCTGTCTTTCAATTTTGTTCTTATCATAGCCACTTCATCCCATTTACTAGCTTTAGCATATATATTCGACAAGAGCACATAAACTCCAGGATTTTGAGGCTCTAGCTTAAGAATATGTTGAGCTATGGATTCCGCTAATTCCAGATTGTTATGGACACGACAAGCAGCAAGCAGAGAACCCCATAAAGCAGCATCAGGCTCTATAGATCCCATGTTCTCGATGAGCTCCATGGCTTCATCAAATAAACCAGCTCGACCAAGAAGATCAACCAAACACCCATAATGTTGAATCATGGGTGCAATTCCATAGTTCTTAGACATAAAATCAAAATACTTGCGCCCTTCTTTTACCAGCCCTGCATGGCTACATGCACATAGGACTCCCACAAATGTGATATCATCAGGAACCAACCCCATAGCAACCATTTTAGAGAAGAGCTCGAGAGCACTAAGAGCATGGCCATGCATTGCTAGCCCAGATATCATGGCATTCCAAGAACTGATGCTTTTGGCCTCCATCTTATCAAATAGTTGTCTGGCCACTTCTATGCTCCCACACTTAGCATACATATCCACAAGAGTGGTGCAGAGAGATACAGCATTCTTAGCAAATATTGGGTTCTTCATGTCCTTATCAATGTAAGCATGGATCCACTTTCCGAGATCCAATGCCCCTAATTGAGCACAGACAGGGAGTATGGTCAAGAAGGTCACCTCATTAGGCTCCTCAAAGAGTTGCATTCTCCTAAAGAGAGACAAAGCTTCCTTATAAAACCCCGCATGTGCGCACCCACCGATCATGACATTCCATGAAACTCTGTCTCTCTCAGGCATCTCATCGAATAAATGATGAGCAATTTTGATGGACCCACATTTTGAGTACATATCAATCAACGAGTTCACCAAATTTGGATTTGAACCCAATCGGTTTTCTTGGATCCAAGAATGAACCCACCTCCCTATTTCAATCGAGCCTGAGCTTGCACAAGCAGAGAGCACGCTCGCCATTGTGCTCACATTCGGCCTAAAACCATCACCCACCATCTTCTCAAACAGATTCAAGGCCTCATCATGAGCCCCACTTTGCGTGTAACCGGAAATGATTGCGTTCCAAGATACCACATCTTTTACGGGACATTGATCGAATAATTTTCGTGCTTCATTGAGATGGCCATTGCTCGAAAAACCGTCAATTAAAGCTGTCCATGAGACAGGATCGGATCTTGGACTGCTATAAAACACTGAGCAAGCACAACCCAAATCACCAAATTTTGCATACAAGTTTATCAGGGAGGTATGAATAAATGGGTCGAGCTCAAGATCAAATTTGATGATTTGCCCGTGAATTTGTCGGCCTTCTTCGACTGCCAGTTCGCAGGCACACGATTTTAAGAGGAAGGGGAATGTGTAATTGTTTGGTGGGGTAAGAGAGAGAAGCATGGCAATGTAGAGAGATAGAGAATCCATGGGGGTGGAGGAGAGAGAGTGGCCTCTGATGAGAGTGTTCCATATGAACTGGTTGGGTTCAGAGATGGTTCCGAAAAGGAGATGCGCAAAGTCGAGGTCTCCAAAGGGCGAAATTGAGCAAAATTCAATGATTTTGCTCAGAGCAAATTGGTCGTTGTGGAGGCCGGTTTTGAAGAATTGGGCATGGATTTGTTTGAGCTGCTTCATAGACGTGCAACTTTGAAGGAGAAATAGAGTGGGGTGATCTTTGATGGAATTGGTGTGGCGAAGCTTCGATATGGAGAGAGGAAGTTGTTGAGGAGACGAGAGTGGAGGAGAGAGAAGGCATGAGGGAGCACCCATGAATTCTATGTATGGATTTAAGCTAAACCCCTGGTCTCCATCGGTTGGATTGCCAACTCCAGATGGAGAGATGAGATATCCATAATAAAAGACATGATCGTCTGGACAAGTTTTACAACACGGCCGCAATTTAAATACCGGCCATTATAATACTAAGGGAAATAGAATGGTAGGGGAAATTTATGTGCGGATCGGGTTTTTATAGAGCTATAAGATAATGGTTTTAGAATAAGCCGTTATTATTTGAAAAGCTATTTTATTTTATTTTATTTTTTTGACAAGTTTGCTTGTTCCGATTTTACAAACTACTTGAGAGGACTTATTTTTTTTATTTTATTTTTTATCAAGTTTGCCGTCAATCCAATTTCACAAACCTCATAGAAGAGTCTGGTTTTGATTTATTTGGTGATTTTTCGGTGTTAGCGTGTGCGGATAGAGAGGCATGATAATATGATTTTCTTTGGTGGTTTTGACGTGTTTGTCACCATGGTTGTCTGGTTCCCTATCGCATTGATACCCATGTAATTTGGGGTTCTTCGAGTTACAGTGCTGCTTAGTTTTGCTCTTTTCTTCTTCCTTGAAATTCATGTAGTGAACATTCAATTCAATTCAACTTCTTATCCCGGCATCACCGAATGGTGAGCTTGTAGTGAATCAATGTGGATTCAAGTTATTGCCTGTTATATCTAATTTTTATGCGTCACGGTGTCTTAACCGTTAGAACCTCCAACATTTCAGCGTGCAATTATTTTGCTTGCCAATTCTCACAAATCAGGGGCTCCACTTTTTTTTTTTTCTGGTGAGTAGAATTCCAGCAGCATTAATGTGATACTGGACGAATCCCCAATTTTATGATGTTATTGTTCTTTTTTTCCTTCGGTATTTGATTATGGTATGCATGGAGAAGATTATGCTTGCAAGGCAGTACAAGTACGACAATTCGAGCGCATCCTGTTTGATAAAGGAAAAATAGAAAAAGAAAGAAGTCGTGATTTCTTTTATTGCTTTACACGGTTTATATAAGTTACAAGATAAACATCCAAATATTTGTACGATTGTGCAATATCTCAATATTTATGGGATTTGTGGAGATAAGAGGTTACAAAGGATAGAAATTATAACTACTACATATGGTTTAGTCAAACCGTGTGTTTAGATAGGAACAAATCGTCTAATACTCCCCCTCAAGTTGGAGCATGAATGGAGATGATGCCCAACTTGTCAATAAGATAATTTAATCGTTCGTGCCTGAGGGCTTTCAGAAAAATATCTGTCAATTGATTAGATGTGTGAAGATATGCAGTCCGAAGTAGGCTAGAGGTGATCTTTTCACGAACAAGGTGATAATCCAGTTCGATATGCTTTGTTCTTTCATGTAAAAGTGGATTGACGGCAATGTGTAGAACAACTTTGTTATCGCAAAACATGTAATGGGCCATGAGCAAGGAATACCAAGATCGTTCAGTAGGTATTTTAGCCAAGTTAACTCACAACTTAGATGTGCCATAGAGAGGTATTATGCTTCAGCAGAAGACCCAGAAACTGTTTTTTGTTTCTTTGTTTTCTAAGAAATTGGGTTATCACCAAGCAGAGTACAATAACCATTGGTAGATCGTCGAGTCATTGGGCAACTAACCCAATTAGAATCACATTATCCGGTCACCTCAAGTTTACTAAAGGAAGATAATAGAATGCAAAGTCTCGGGGTACACTTGAGATACCGAAGCAATCGTAAGGTTGCATCAAGATGAGGTTTTCGTGGGCTTTGCATAAACTTACTAAAGATATAGACGCTGAAAACAATTTCAGGGCAAGTAATAGTCAGATATATCAATCTGCCAATGAGCCACCTATAAGAAGTAGGATCTTCAAGAAGCTCGCCATCAGTAGAATTTAACTTTAGGTTTTGCTCCATAGAAAACTCTGAAGGCGTTGCTCCAAGCATGCCCATGTCTTAGAGTATCTCTAATGTATACTTACACTAGCATAAGAAATGGCCTTTACTAGACTTGGCCACTTCTATACCAAGAAAATATTTGAGTGGACATAAGTCTGTGATATAGAAATCCAAATTGGAGATAGCCTTTGAGAATATCGATTACAGGGGATCGTTCCTAGTAATAAGTATATCATCAACATATATGAGAACATGAACGCATTTGCCACCATATTGTTTGCTAAACAAAGAGTAGTCAGCTATGGACAGACGAAAACCCACATCTTGAAGAGCTTTAGAGTGCTTGGAGAACCAGTTTCTTGATGCTTGTTTTAGTGTATATAAGAACTTTTGCAACTTACAGACTCTATTCTCCCCCTGTTTGGCAAATCCAAGGGGAATCCGCATATAAGCTTCTTCCTCCAAATCCCCATGAAGGAATACATCGTTCACACCCAACTGGTGTAAATACCATTGCTGAATGATAACAATAGCTAAAATGCATCGCGCGGTACCTAACTTAGCCACAGGTGTGAATATTTGGTGATAATCCAAACGTTCAGTATGAGTGTAGCCTTTGGTTACAAGCCTTGCTTTGTAACGTTCAATAGAACCATCTAGGCGGTGCTTAATCTTATAAACCCATTTTAAGCCAATGGGTTTTAAAGTATTGTTTTCTTCGAGTGCCCATATCTTAATAAGTATTGCATCTCTCCATTTCAATGACTTCACAATAATTTTAAAAGATGTGGGTGTAGTGGTTGAGGATATGGCTATAACATAAGCATGGTGATATGGAGACAATTGATCATAAGATAAGAAACTAGTGAGTGGGTGAGTAATACCTGATAAACTGGATGGATGTTGTTGTGTAGTAGCTAGAGTAGCAACTGTGAAACAATGATATTGTTGTAGATATGGTGGTAGATGGGTAAGTCTAGAGGATCTATGAAGAGATTGTGGAGGTGGTGGTGAAGAAAGGGGCGGTTGTATAAGAGGTGGTGGTGAAGAGATAGGCAGTTGGATAAGAGGTGGTGGGCTGGTGAAGAGATAGGCTGTTGGAAAAGATGCCTAATTGATTATAATTAGGCATGGTATTAAGGAGAACTTCATGTGGGCTTTTGCTAGAGAGTAAGGGTGTTGACATTCTATTAATTAAAAATATTGCGGTAAGAACACAGTCCCCCCAAATTTGGAGAGGGAGGTTAGTTTGAAATCGTAAGGCATGAGCTACCTCAAGAAGGTGCCGGTGTTTATGTTTAGCTACTCCATTCTGTTGGGGTGTAGAGACACAACTATGTTGATGAATAACACCTTTGGATTTAAAAAATTATTGCACTTCTTGAGAAAAGAATTTAGTTCCATTGTCAGTTCGAACAATATTAATCTGGCAATGAAATTGTGCAAGTACCATATCAAATTTTTTTTTAAGGTATTGTTTAGCTTAGGATTTGAATTTCATTAAGAATACCCAGGCGCATCGACTAAAATCGTCAATAATAGTGAGAAAATAGTGAGCACCAGAGAGGGATGGAGTTTGGTACCCACCCCAAATATAACAATGTATCATACTAAAAGCATGTGAGATAAAAATAGAACTAGAATTAAATGATAGTCTAGTTTGTTTTTCTATGGGATAGATAATACAAATGCAATTATTCAAACCAGAAATAAAAGGAAAAGTCTTAGAAAGAAAATTTAAGTGATTCTTAGAAATATGGTTAAGCTTGTAATGCCACAAATCAAGCGAAGCTAAATGAGAAGAGGGTGACTTTGCATCACTGAGACTGGTGTCAAGTAAATAGAGTCCTTGTTGCTCTTTGCCCACTCCAATCATCCTCTGCATTGCTATGTCTTAAAAAAGGCAAAAATTGGGAGAGAAAGTTGTAGACACCCTATTTTAAATCTGGTATATTATATGGTTTTCTGAACCTTTATGACCACATTATCCTAGTAAATCCAAAATCCATAGTTCACACAACATACTCTGTGACCCGACCCAATCTGCCTACCCGGAACCCTGCAAAAACCTATTTTGACCTAGAATCCTGCAGACGCCCTGTTTTACCAAAGTAATTATTAAAAATAGTATAAAACTCCGTTTTGACCCAAAGTTTCTCTGAGAGCTTCATAAGAGGCTAAGGAAGACACCAAAATTGGATTTTTTGAATTTGGAGAAAATTTGATGTGGGTGATACCACTGGAGTAGCCCAACATTTTTTGTCCCAAAATGAAATTTTCTCTTTGTGAGTATTTTTCTTACCTTTTTCTAAGATTTTTACTATATTTATTTGGGCGACACTAGGCATGTCGCCCGGGCGACACCAGGTTTGTTGCTCAGATCCGTACCTCAAAATTAGAATTTTTTTTGAGGAGGATCTGTTGGTTATGGAAAGTTATCATTTCCAACAGATCCTTGATCCCTATAAGATGTATTTTCGTGGCCATTTGAGGCACGACTTCAGAGAGAGGAAAACCCTACAGCTTCAAAAGATTGAAACCCTCGATACTGCTTCAGAAACCCTAGCCTCCTGAGAGTCTAACCTTAAGCAAAAAACACCTAGACTAGGGCATAACAACCCCAGATCTAGAACCATCTCCAGGGCACAACCCTTTCAACCACAGATCTGCTGTTCAGCATTCGAATCAGATAGGCAAATAAGACGTTGGTTCTGATACGGGAGAGCCATCGAAGGCTCAAGAGTCTCGGGCCATCTAGCCCGGTTTGGTATTGCTTCTTCATTTTCTTTCTTATTCTTCTTTCACTATCTTCATTTTATTTTGATCTATTCACTACTTTAAAATCGTATTTTAATATTTTGGATCATGTTGGCTCTGCCACAGATCTGATAGTAGATCTACTCATTTTTGGGCAAATTTGGCCTCAGATCTGAATTCGATTTTGGTCGTATGCCTGATCTCGCCTCCGGATCTAGGCGATCGGGTGACATATGTTTCAGGTTCGGAAGACCCAAAACCTGAGATCGCTCTCTCGGGAACCTTGTTCACAGAATAAGGGCCGGTGCCCAATTGGTGAGAGTGGAATTTTGAACGTGAGGTGGGGACCAACCTCACCTGGGTCCGTGACTTACTTGGGCTAACTCGCATGGGCGCCCTCTTAGATCACAATAGAAAGCCTCCTAGCTGCTTCAACTGGTACAGACTCTCCTCCCTTGACCTGCAATCTCTTTGTTTACTGCACAATCCTATATGG